AAGGACTTGTGTCGCTAAAAGTTTCGTCAGAACGAGGTTACGGAAAATTAATTAACAAACGGAGACGTAACAATATTAAAAACATAGCCTACAACGATACAAGCTATCATTTTAATGTATTATATCTCTTATATATTTTTCATACAGAACTGAGTCAGTTTCTCAAATTTACTTGAAGTATAACTGTAAATATTGTTGCAATAATGGTTACCATGGTAAAAATGCTGTTTTCACTGTATGCATTATGAACAATTTCTCATACATAATACAACTCATAAGTTCAGTGATAACAACGCCATCTATTCCATTCAAATACTCCTAATAAATACACAGTTAAGAACCAAGCACAACCTAGGTGTTGGCGTGCCAAACTGTGGAGCTGGAGTCCATGGTTCGAGTTCCATTTCTATCCAAAAAAAAAACAACCGTGCTCTGCAATTAGAGGCCATGGCTGTATTATAAAGGCGATAATTAATTCCCACTGTCCAGTCTGACAAGATTAGCTCAAGATCTGGTGGTGAGTGGTATCGACGAGCTGCCGCCCCTCTAGTCTATCACAAATTAAGTCCAGCTAGAGAATAGTCCTTATGAAGCTTTGCGCAAAATCCATCCAACGAAAAATTATATATCATGTACGAAATTAACATGACAAACATCCAAATGTTATTGCTCTCCATCCTCTCATTCTTGTGACAAGCCACTTTCTTCAAACACATATACAGATATGTATATATCTATAGATGGAACGTTGTTCTTTTATTGGGCAGATGCTTTAACATTTTCACTGGATGTTCAACCTATTGTGTAGAAAGTGTCATGTAATGCACACGAATTTCCTGGTCAGAGACTGTTAAACCAGTGTTAATCAACATTACACAAAATACATCAATACATCTTTCTTCATCTATGGAGGCAATGTCTCACCTTTCATTACCAAATCTGGTCAAACTACTGTAGCTGTTAAACCAGTGTTAATCAACATTATACAAAATACATCAATACATCTTTCTTGAATAGAACTGTTTAAACATTTGTTTAACAACAAAAAAAAGCTTGGAATTATCTATCTTTTCGTTGGAGGTGTGTCTGTGAGACAGACTAGTTTCCGAGAGTTCCACTCCTCATCAGTGACCCTGGATACTACCATCAATGAAATATCAGATCAAACCAAGCCTTTATAGTAGTGAAGTATCAAAAATCGAATTGGTATATTTAAGTGTTTTACACTCACAAAAAAGAAACTTAAATTCTATAGGTATTTGAAGAACTTGTAGCATTCTGCCACAATTTAATTATTCGTATTGTTAGCCGACACTAGGCAGCTGGTACATAATTGAATAGAGTTGTTTAAACATTTGTTTAACAACAAGGCAATGTCTCGCCCTTCATTAACGAATCAGGTCAAACTATTGTAGCTGTAAAACCAGTGTTTACCAACATTATACAAGACTTCATGTCAACAAACCCATGGACTCGTGGACCGATTTCTTTAATTAATAAACTTTTTATCTCATTTGGTGCAGAGGGAATGTTCTCAGCTGAACTTTGATTAATTTTCTCCGATGTCTTGTTGGCTCTTTGTTGCTCCTTCGATCTGGTTGTGCCCGAAAACTTGTCCTCAGGGTATTATTTTCTTGATATATTAACAGTTATCTATTCTTCAAAGTTTCGGCTGCAATGGCCATGTTTCTCACATCTATAATGGTTCCCTTTTATTGACGTTCTTTGGGAGACGTAGTCATTCCCTAATGCTTTTTCATTAGAAGGCGTTGTTATTTCCCAATGCTTTTTTCTTAGTTCCTGGCAATATACCTTTTCATGTTACAGTTGAAACATCTATTATCTTATGGTTTATTTCCTTCATTTTCTGTAACTAGCTATTTAACTAATTCTACCAGTTCTTCTATTCTATCATCAGAGGGTGTAAATATTTGAATACTACTCAATATGATAATACAGTAATTTCTAGATGGTGAATTTGGTTGTTCAGTTGCAACTTTAATGGATTCAAGATCCATCACCAACTTCCTTTAAAGATATACACCTACTTTGCTTCAGCCCGATTCTCATATCCTCGTCTGTTATGACATCCATGAATTGGTCATTTATCGGAGAATCCATCATTTCACATGAAGCATCTAAGTAACATGACTGGGCAAGCTTCTTCAAATCTTTTGCAAGTTTGGCCAAGATATTTTCTTTCCTCTTTACCGGCCGGCATGGCCAGGCTGCTCGACTCACAATCCGCAGGTTCGAATACCCGTCCAACGAAACATGCTCGTCCTTTCAGCAGTGAGGGCGTTATAATGTGACGGTCAATCCTAGTATTCGTTGGTAAAAGAGTAGTCCAAGAGTTGGCGGTTGGTGATGATGACTAGCTGCCTTCCCTCTAGTCTTACACTGCTAAATTAGGGGCGGCTAACGCAGATAGCCCTCGTGTAGCTTCGCGCGAAATTCAAATCAAACAAAATCCTCTACCCTGTTCCAGAATTTTGTTGTTCTGGATTCCTCCTTCTTGTTTGTCACTCCAAACCTACTGGATAAGGCAGTTACCAATACTTGATAGTTGTTACAGCTCTCAGCTGGAAGGCTACTTAATTTTGTTAAAGCTGGTCTTTTTAATTGAGCAGCAAAATGGATGTCTTGTTGTTCATTTATCCAACCCATCCACTCTGTAAATTATTTAAACCCGAGCCTAACACGCCTCTCGTGGTACTCTTCCATCATAATCAGTTGGTTTCTCAATTAGGAAATGCTGTTGAAAGATTAGCTACATCCTGGAACTGGATGTAGTAGAAGCATGGCTGGACTAGTCCAGGAAGGTCTTATGGTAACATACAGCACAGCAGTAGTGGTAATAGGTGTAGATCAAATAGGTTGTTCCCATTTTGTATTTTGTGGTATATGGTATTTGAGGTTGGAAATCTCAGGCAGATGCAGTAAGAGATGTAATTGGTTTAATCTTGACATTTACCAATTCATTTTTCCGATGTTTTATTATGTCACTGATGTTCTTTTCTACCTCATTGATTTCTTTGTTGCACATTTTCAATTTTGTCATTACAGCCTTTCTGTACTTCTTCAATCTTGTTGATGTAATCCCTTCGTATATTTCCAATAGTTTCATTGGTCTTGTTATCAATCTCATTCTTTTAACCAACTCCTTTCTTAAATTTGTGTCTCTTTCTTCTTGACCTTCCTTTAATTGTTTCATCATGTCTAGTAAAGTCTTAATCTCATTTCATGATCAGATTGCATCTTGAAATTTAGACAAAGTTCTATTTTATTTTAACCAAAACAATCATATTTCTGACATAAGTGTTACATGTTCTATCATTGGGTGGGATCTTTTTGATTATCTGGTAAAAATAATGGCATGTACCTTCCACATAACGATAACGAACTAATTCATTTATTCAATAAAGTTTGTTACAGTCACTTTAACTTATAAACCTGAATTCATGAATAAATGTTTCAATATAAATTCCGCAATTAGATGTTGGCCTAACTTTAAATACAACGTTTCAATATAAACTGCGACACCTACACCTAACTTAACTAGCTATCTTTGATAGATAAATACATAACCCACTGAGTAACTGAATAACAGATTAGACGTAAAAATTCTTACTATTAACACCGAATAACTCACTGATTTTCGTATTTATAATATAACCTTATTTCAATTATTTGACTCGTATATCTTGTAGTATTAGATTAATAAAAGTGATACACCATTTAAACCACAATTATTTATCACTGTAAAAACAGATAGCAAAGTGTCTTTGTTTTGCAATAATAAATAACTGTGGTTGAAATAGTGTATTGTTACGTCTCCGTTTGTTAATTAACTTCCCGTAACTTCGTTCCG